ACTCGGTAGTGCTGGTCCTCGCGATACGCTTTGTGACTGTGATGCCAAGCTTGTGGTGCTCGGGCCGTCGCTCTGATTGAAGCAGTGGCTGACTAGCTGGCCCTCGACCCTGTGGTACTCGGCACCATCGTGCTGGTCGAAGTGGCAGTACTTGTCTCGGTGTGAGGACCTTCTCCATTCGCTCCATTCACTCCACTCAACTCGGCATCGCTGGTCCAGTGGTCGTTTGGCTCGGTGATGGTAGGCTCTTTGTACTGGGCTCGGTCGCGCTGGTCGAGTGGAACTGTTTGACTATGTGGGGCTCAGGCTCCTGGTGCTCGACTCAGCCACTGAGGTACTTGTCGTGCTGGTTACAGGTCGTTGGGGATCTGCTTGTTGCTGGTAGGTGGAATAGGTTGTAGGCGCACTCAGGCCTCCATGCACCGAGTTCAAGTGGGGTTCTTGGCGGCCCCACCTCGCCCCGCTATGGCTAGGGGTCACGGTGCCCTCGGTGGGGGCGAACCCCAGGCCCAGTGATTCTTCTGTTAACGACGAGGAAGGTCTCGGCTGCCCTATGCTTCGCCCTTGGGCGCTCGGGAGCTCCATCTCCGCCATGGGAATGGTGGGGGTGGCGAGCTAGGGCGGGCCGCGGGGGCGCAGGTAGTCGCGTCCTACCCCCCGCCCCCCTCCCCCCTGCCCCTCACCATCCCCCCTGGTAGGCGCGGGCAGTGCTCGCCCTGCCCCCCCGCCCTTCGAGCCCGTCTCGAAGTTTGATCCTTGCCCCGCCAGGGCAGCGTTGACTTGTACTTGGTGTAGTTGGCATATCGTCTGGCTGGTACCTCTGAGCCCTGGCTGCACGGCGGCCGTGTCCATCACTGCTGCGAAACGTGGCGACGTGTGTCTGGGGTGTTCCCTCGCATTCGGGGCTTCCCCAGGATTTGCGCCCTGACAACTTGTGCAAAACTTGGCCACGTAGCCTGAGGTGTTCCCTCGCACTCGGGGCTTCCTTAGGACTTGCGTCCTGACCCTTTTGTACTTGTCGTCAGGGCTCTTCGTCGCGATCTGCCTCGCCAGCCTGTGCTCGATCAGCTCTCGTCGAGTTTTGGTCCTGCCCATTGCCTTGTCGGGTCGGTCCTGTAGGGCCCACTCCATCGCCTCCTCCAACCAGGTCGGGGCGCTCCCTCGCCTCGCTGGGCCACCGTGGTAGTCCTGGCCCATCTCCCTGGTCTTGTAGCGGTCGAGCGGCTGGAAGAAGTGGGCCACATCGTCGTCGATAAGCCATCCGTTGGCGTCGCTTGGCGATTCGCCAAAGCGCCACCTTATCTGCTTCACCAGTGCAGTCGCGATGGCCTGGCACAACCTGTTCGGGTACTCCTTGGTTGCCGCGGTGCGCCACTGGCCGTCGTCGTTGATGCCCGCCAGCTCCGCGTGGTAGGAGGCCGTGTGGAAGCACCTCCCGCCTCCAGGCAGTCTACTTATTTCCGATCGGAGAGTTGGGAGGGATACCGCCAGCAGGCTCGTGGACTTCCTCGAACGCGCTCCACAGGTGCACTGGTCGAAGGTGATCAGCTCGACTCCCTGCTGGCCCAGGAGGCGGCGCGTCTCGGGGATCCTCCAGGAGCTGGCGAAGTGCTCCTCAGTGAGCTCGCTCGGGTGCTCGAGCATGCCTGGGACGCCAAGGTTGAGGCACATATACATGAGCTCCAGCTGTGTCCTGTATAGGCGATTGCCTATCGCTATTTGTTCCATCTCTGGACGGGAAAGGCAGCGGAGGCCCCGCAAGCTGTTGCTGCTCCTTAGGGGTCTTGGCGGGCGACCCCTGCAGTCATTGGGAGGCAGGTGGCGCGCGCGGCTCCAAGTCTCGCACGGCGGTCCGCCGATGACTCCTGCAATCCTTCCTGCTTGTGTCATGCCTCGCCACTTGTGGACTGCGACTTCTGATGTCAGGTCGCCGATGGTCGGGGCGTTGACAACATCCAGGCTAAGCATGTGTATGTCGCATGAGGCCCGACTGCTTATACGGTCGAACCAGTCCTGAACGTCTCCCTCTCGGCGACGACCGCTGAACAGATGCAGCACGTATAGAGTCCGAGCTGGCCTGGGCCTGGGTGCAGCAGCTGGCGGCGGCGGTGGCTCCTCGATGAAGGGGAGCTCGAGGCTCTCGTAGTGGCCGCCATTGCTGTCGTCGCTGTCCTCGTCCGCGTGTATTTCTGGAGGACGAGCACGGACTGCAGGCTTCTCTGCCCAGTCGATGGGCCTGCCAGCCCTTCTGTTCGCCTGCTGCTGGTCGCGAACCACTTGCTGGTTGTGCTGCAGCTCGGCTTTGCTGAGGAGTGCTGGACGTGTTTTTCGCCAGTGTCGAGCGCACCTACGCACCCGCAGCAAGTGCTTGACCAGCCTGTTCGTGGTGTGGTAGTCCATGCCGCATCCGCAGCAGACCGAACCAGTTGCCCACGAGATAGGATGCCCCGACGAGGTGTGGTCCTTGGTGATGTGGGCTCGTAGCACTGCTGCGCTGAGTTCAGTACGTCCGCAGTGGTAGCAGAGGTACTTGCGCTGCTGCTCGAAGTGCTGGTCTGGGAAGGGCGAGATGGCTTCCGTGTTTGTCCACCGCTGGAGTCGTAGCCGCCATCGAGCGTGGTGGTCGTGATCGTACTGGCGGGCTTTGCCGCGTTGGCAAGCTTTCTTGACTGCGCTGAGGTAGCTTTTGTAGTCGTTCCTGGCCCAGTCCTTCCAGTCTTCGAGCGTGTATGCTCCACCGCGCTCGTCAGGTCCTGCGTGGTCGCGGACCCAGTCTAAGTCGCGGCGGAGCAGAGCCACCCAGCCGTAACTCCCGTCCCATGCTTGGCTGAGTAGTCGGCGGAGGTGCATGGGGTCCCCAGTTGAGGCATCTACCGAATAGTCGTAGTCTCTCAAGACGCAGGACGATCTCGGGGGGCAGTTTGTCGACTCCTTCGAGGATCTGGGTGTTCGTGACCTCCTTCTTCTGTCGTACTTTCCAAGTGATCCTCTGTGCGGCAGCGTAGTTCACTATATACTGGTTGTTGAAATTCCTGGCCTGGCCTGCTGTGAGTTCAGGCCAGGTAGACGCATTGTATAGTAGCTGGGATAGCACCACACTGTCGGCTAGGTAGGCTTTGTCTTTGACGGCCAGCTCTGAGCGACGGTGGACTTCACGATGTAGAGGCCGCGTGGATGTCGCCGCGGTGGCTACCTTCACTGCGGTATCCACCCCAGGGGATGCATTGTCGGTTGCGTAGGTCCCGAGGAGCTTGTGGTGGCGGACAACCTCGACGTGGCTCTCCGCGAGAGGGACTTCGATCCTCGGCACTCCTTCGGAATAGAAGCTGGCCCGAGCTTGCCGGCTCCCAGGCCCACTGAAGTCGATCATCACCTTGGTCTTGGTGAGCTGCAGCTGGAGGCCGAAGGTGCTGGTGGCGCAGTAGACGGCTTCGCAGAACCCCGTGGCCTCGGACTGAATGTGATCGGGGCTGGTGAACACGTGCATGCCCGTGAGGTCGTCGACGAACGATAGGCCGTGAGGTTCGTGCTCCTGGAGTGGTCCGTCTGTGGGGTCGGTGCCGCATGCGAAGCTGCTCTCTAGGGGCTTGCCCTGGGCCCTTAGCCCTCGCTGCGTAAGGTAGCTGTCAATCATGCGGTGGACTCGGCCGAAGAGCAGATTGAAGTCCGCGTCGGCTAGGGGCACGCCAGGCCTCGTGCCCTTGTGCGGCGCAATGAAGTTCTGAGAGAACCTGCGCGGTGTCCACCTGTTGCGACACCCTTCTGCTATGAGGGCAGCCAGGTGGGAGCCGTCCAACACTGTGTCTAGTATCCCTGGGTTGGCCATGAGGTGCTCCAATTGTGGCTGGGCCCATAGAGGAACTTCTAGGTTATCTAGCACCTCCTTGACTTCGCCCTCCTCGCCTGGGATGCCGTGGACCAGCTGGGCGACAACCGAGTAGACGGCCTCCTTTAAGTCGTAGCAGCTGATCATGGAGCACTTCCCTTGGGCCTGGCTTCTCTCTGTGAAAAGGCGCGCTGCCAGGACCGCCATGTCAGCCCCTCGCTTGGGCCGGCCGCCAACCTGGATGTCCTCCAGCGCTATGGCGAGGGTAGTGTTGAGCATGGCCCTTAGGTATTTATGGTGGTGCTTGCCCAGGACGTTGTTTAAGAGGATCTCGCGGTACGCTAGGAGGTATCGCGGGTCGCCTTTTCCTTTAGGGATGGCGACCAGATCCCCGCCCTTGAAGCTCAGCGGCTCCCGCACGGTGGTCGCCACCTTGGTGAAGAGGGGGTGCAGTAGCGCAGCTGCCTCTGTAGGAGCCGCCCTGAGGACGGCGTTGGTGAGTCCGTCAGGGCCTCCTTGCGTCCCAACCTTGGCCGCAGCGAACTGGGCCTGGCAGACGGCCAGGGGCATCGCCATGGAGAGATCCAACGCGCCGTCGAAGGGCCTGGTCTTGCTGTCATGATTATACTTATTGGCGAGATCGTCCGCTGTCACGATCTTGCCTGCCTGTATTTTCGCGAAATGGTTGAGCTCCTGGTCCGCCATGTCCTGGGAGTTGTGGATCACCTCTCCATCCTTGTCGAGCCTCATCGGCTTTCCTGCTGGGAACTTCGCCTTCCTCCCGCCGTACCTTAATAGGTCGCGATAGGCCTTCCACTGGGCCGCAGCGTCGTTCGCAGCAGAGGCGGAGGACGCAGTTGAGGCTAGCCGGCTGAGGAAGGCGCTGCGGTCCTTCACGACGGCCGATGCAACGAGCAGCCCAGACCTGGTGAGGAAGGAGAGGATGGCCATGGCGTAGACCATGGGCGAGATCGTCCAGTTCAGGAGGAGGTGCGCGTAGTCGTGGATGTCGTGGATGGTGCCATCGTCGTCGCCACGCTCTCTGCTCCACAGGGCCAGTGAGGCCCCGACCTCGCCTCCAAGAAGAGAGTGGGCGTGGGCAACTAGTCGTCCAGGTCGGTCGTCATGGGCTTCTCCTCTTAGCACTGCGCGATGGACTCGAAGTGCGAGGCGCCTGGCTCGGATTAGGCCCATGGTAGTCTTGGTGACGTAGGGCTTCCTCGCTGCCTTGACGGCCTTGCCGAAGGCCTGGATGGCCGCATTGTTGACGACTCTGGTGACCTCATCGCAGTGGGTGTTGACGTCCACCTCCCAGGGCATGATCGGGGCCTGCTTGAGAATCTCCTTAAAGCTGGCCTTGGCGTCATCGTTGTGTAGGTTGGTCAGATCGGGCCGCGGTCCTGAGGCCTTGGTGGTCTTGCAGACAGCCCACTTGAGGGTGGCGAGTACTGGTATGTGGTCTTGCGCAGCTGTGCCTCGGTCAAGACCTGGCTCCGTGCTGCAGCTCGCAACGTACGGGGCGATGGAGGAGCTCAGCAGGATGTAGTCGATCCTGCGGCGCTGCCCCTTCGATCCGATATGCGTATGCGAGTTGTTGCCTGGATCCTTCGTGGTGTTGATGACCTCCATGTCGGTGTCGGCTGCGAAGCTGATGATGTGCTTGCCATTGCCGTTGGTCGGTTCTGGGTATCCACTGGCGCCAACTCCTGGGGACTCATAGTCGCCAAGACGCCCATTCAGGTCCCCCATGAAGATGTCCACGTGGTACTTGGCAGACAGTCGCTTGGCAGACTCCCAGAATTCTGTCTTCTCAGCCGCCTGGGAGTCTTCGTGGGGTGCGTACGCGGAGGCGATGACCATGTCTGTGCCTGCAACGCGGGTCTTGATGATCAAGAGCCTGTCGTGCTGGTGGAGGACGAGGGTGTCTTTGGCACTTAGGTACTTCGCTGTCCCACTCACGCTGATCGGCTGGGAGACGTTGAGCCATATGTCGCATCCTCTGTTCTGCTGCGCGTGGCCTGAGGAGTAGCAAACATATTCTCCAACGTTGCGGACGTCTCCTTCGCTCTGCGTCTCCTGGAGGGCCACCACGTGCAGGCCCATGTCAGCAAACTGCGCTGCTAGGTGCGTGACCTTGGAGATGCTCTGCTTGCTTTTGCTGGCCGCCTTGCCTTTGCCCGACTTGAAGCTGACGGCGGCTTTGGGTGACCTGCAGTTGTAGGTGCACACATTCAGGCTGAGGTCGGCCTTGATGGTGGTGGTGCTGATGGGCCTCTGGATCGCACATGAGGCTGCCTGGGGCTGAGTGGCCCCGATAATGAAGGCTTGGTTCCGCATGGGCGGGTATGCGGCCTTGACCGCATCGGGCGCTGAGCGTAACCATTCCCAGGAAAGGAACTTATTGTGCGCGATCGCCTGCACTGCTGCAGTATTCGGGTCCATCAGGTCGCTGGCCGAAGCTTGATCTGCTATCCCATCTGCAAGCTCGTTCCAAGGGTGGCCAATGTGCGAGTTAATATGATGCCACTGAGTAGGTCGAGCTTGTTGGAGGAGGCCAGCAAGCGTGCGAATGGCGGTCCCCAGCCTCGGATGTACATGGCATTGGGCTTCGCCTTTGGCCAGGTTGATAACGTTGAGGGCGTCAGGCGTGTTCTCGATGGGCGCGGCGGTGTCTTGACCAAGGGCCCACATTCGTGCCCAAAGCACTGCCGTGTGCTCAGCTGTGTATGGCGGCACCTTCTCGTTGTTTACCATGTCGTGTAGGGACTCGGTGACCTTGCCACCAATGAAACCCCGAAAGCCAAACGGGCCTCGTGAGTTTCGCCCATCGTCATACTCGTCGACAATAACAACTGCCCAGGCGGCTGTATGTGGGATGCCGTTGTAGCTGCCGTCCGTGTAGATGTGTGTGCGCCTAGTCGGCAGCTCACGTGATGGGCACATCTCCAGCGCCAGCCTTGCCATATTGTGGAGGGTCGTGGTGTCGACGTCGGCGCAGACATTGACGCGGCCTCGGCCTCGGAGGGTCTCGGCTACTGAGTCTTGGCTGAGAACTGGCAGCACTGCTGGTTGGCCTCTGTCTGGCGCTGCCGTGGTGGAGGGCCGCCGTTGCCTTCGGCCGAGCCTGGCTCTCTCAGCCCTGACGTACTCGGGGGAGTGTTCAACGTCATCGTCTGGCACAGGCTCCGTGCCATGTAGGGTGGGACATGGTGTGCTGGTAATACGGGCTGGAGGTAGCTGTGATGGTGCGGAGTGGGTGGGCGGGGCTAGAGGTGGGACCCCAGCCTGAGGCGTACTCCGCTTCACGGGTAGTGATGGTGGCATTTGGCTCCCCTCATCGAAGTTCAAGTTGTCCGATCCAGCCCGCGCGGCCTGACTGAACAGGGGCTCGTGTGATTGGGCGTGGAGCATGCTGTCACGTAGACGATGAGGTTCGCCATCCAGGGCGTCTGGGTGATTAGTGGCACCCGTGCCGTGGTGGGAGCGAGCTGATGCCGAGGGGAGCGTTGGCTTCCACCTGCCTGGTCGTGGTGAGCTGTGTGGGTCCGTCGGGACTGAGGTCCCTGGTGGTGCTGGATCAGCTTGGATGTCGCTGGGCCTGGTTGGACACCCCAACACGACATCGCTGGCGCGAGGGCACGGCTTCGACCACCCTCCCGTCGGAGGCATACCCTCACGCCTACGCACCTGTAAGGGGGATTGGCCCCGCAGCTGCTCTACCCGGTGGGGAGCAGGTCCGCCCGTCGGCGGCCTTACAGTGTGAGGCGACCCCGCGCTAGCGCGCCAGCTTGGGCAGGCCCTAGTAGGCACTGTGTGCTGCTCGGGCTCGGATAGGTCTTCAGGTTGCTCAGTTGGTGGGTGTTGGGGCTTGGTGCCCTGGTCTGTCGTAAGGGTGTTGGTTGGGGCAGGCTTGGCTTCTGCATCAGGCAGTGCTGTGGCCGTGGGTGGGATGCTGTCGATGCTGCTGCTCGGTGGTGGCCGAGTCGTTGGTCTCCACTCTGTGCTACGAGAAGTGTAGCTGCCGTTGGGGTCCTGCCTCGGGTGCCCTTGGACGAAGCCCCTGGCCTGGGAGCAAGGCATCGGCCACCCTCCCGACGGAGGCTTGCTGCCAGGCCTTCGCACCTGCAAGGGGGAACGCTCCCGCATCTGCTCGTCTCTGTGGGGAGCAGATCCGCTCGCCAGCGGCCTTGCAGTGTGAGGGGACCCCGTGCATGCCCGCCAGATTGGGCTGCCTTCTTGACCACTGGGTGTCTGCTGGTCGCTGGTGCGGCTGGATCGGGTGCGGGCGCTGTGCTCCTGATCCACCACCAGGGATCGGTACTTATTGTGAGTGCTGCTGTCGTCCCGACGACTGTGGCTCTCCGCAGCGCGCCGTGCACGGCGTACTCGCCGCTGAGCTGATCGGAAGGCTGCAACTGCGCGCGATTGCTTCCACTTCTCATAACACTGCTCCGTGCCATCCTCGGCCTCGCTGCCACTCGAGTTTTGTCCATCGAGAAAGGTCCTTTCCGCATTCTCGATCTCGTGAACTCGGATGGCGGAGGGGGGCGTCCTGTGTGCAAGGGCAGCCGGTAACGCATCCTTGCAGCCATCTTGGTGGCTTGTGACCTGAAATGCTGACTGACTGGCGGATGCATCGCTCCTCCCTGGTAGTGTGCCTCTTTGGGTGCCGCCTAGCGCCCCTCGAGACGCGGCGAGCGGCCCTCGTGTCGGCCGTGGTGGTGTCACGTTGGCCCCTCGAGACCCAGGTGACTGATACCGCTGTTGTTGCTGGCTGCTGCGATTGGGAGTGGCCCTCCCACTGCCAAGGCCAGTTGCGGTAACACATCTGCTTGGAGTCGTGGCCCCTCGGGACCCTGGACTTCTGGGAGTATCTGTTCTGGTGTGTGAGACTGTCGCAGTCTCTGGGCCCCGGTGCCCCTCGGGCCCGGCCGGCCTCGGGCCCCGGGTCGGGGGCGGCGGAGAGGGGAGGTCGGGGGCCGCAGTCCTCCTCTCTCCTCCTCCTCCTCTCTCCTCCTCTCTCCTCCTCCTCCTCCTCCTCCTCCTCCTCCCTCCTCCTCCTCCTCCTCCTCCTCCTCCTCCTCCTCCTCCTCCTCCTCCTCCTCCTCCTCCTCCTCGTCTCTCCTCCTCGACTCCTCCTTCTCCCTCCTCCTCCTCCTCCTCCTCCTCCTCCTCCTCCTCCTCCTCCTCCTCTCTCCTCCTCCTCCTCCTGCTCCTCCTGCTGCTCCTCCTCCTGCTGCTCCTCCTCCTCCTCCTCCCCCTCCTCCTTCTCCATTCCTTTCATTAAAATCGGAGGCGAACAGACCTCCCACCCCGACACGTCGATTGAGGAATTGGCCGTTGTCGGTTCGCGAGGGAGATGGCGCAGACTGAGAGGGCCTGGGGCGCCAGGCGCGATCTTTGAGACGTCGGATCTCAGGGAACGATGTGGTGTCCACGCCGCGCGGCGAGTCCGTAGGATTCGGGGCCACCGCACGGCTTTGGGACGCTGGCCCCCGCGTGCCCCTCCCCGTGCTCTCGGGTCCGATCTCGGGCCCCAGGTCGGGGGCGGCGTGAGAGGGGGGGGGGAGGACCAGGGTTACATCGGGCCTGCCCCTCTGGAGGAGGGAACTCCAAGAAGAGTCAAACAAATAGTCTGGGTATGATTTTTTGCGTGGACAGGCCTCCCACTCCCGACACGTCGATTGAGGAATTGGCCGTTGTCGGTTCGCGAGGGGGCGTCGCGGCCGTCCTTTTTGCGGGTCCGGGCCCGTCGGTTTCGGCCCCGGGCCGTTTTCGCTAAGGGGAGGTCTACGAAAGGGAGGTTTGTCCACCGCCGAAGGGGGGATGACCAGGGTCAAGTCGGGCCTGCCCCTCTGGAGGAGGGAACTTCAAGAATGGTCAAAAAATACTCTGGGTACGATTTTTTGTGTATAGTCTGACCACTGGGGGGTATGTTTGGACTCTGTTTCATCTCTCGTCCAAGATCCCCCTCAAAGAGGACAGGCCAGACTTACGACTAGGGGGGGTGGAAATCATGGCTGGGACCATGATGTCTCCCCAGGTTTCACGGCGCCCCTTCTGAGTTCAGTGCGCTGCCTGGCCCCCCCCCTGGTCCGCGCACATGCCTCGGGCCACGATTTGCACACACCCCTCTTGGACGCCCCCCTCATTGGACACCCCCGACCCGGTCGGGGGCTCCCAAACCTTGAGATCCTGGCGTCTCAATCCTGTCGAGCCGGGCGTTTTCGCCCAGCTTCGGGCCCTCACAGATCCATGCGGCTCGAGAAATGGCGCAGACTGAGAGGACCTAGGGCTCCAGGCGCGATTTTTGAGACGTCGGATCTCAGGGAACGATGTGGTGTCCACACCGCGCGGCGAGTTCGTAGGATTCGGGGCCACCGCACGGCTTTGGGACGCTGGCCGCTCTCCAGGGACGTCGGGCTCCCTGAGATCCTGGCGTCGCAGCTGTTTCGAGCCAGGCGTTGTCGCGTGATTCCAAGACCCAGGGACCTCACGGACCGCTGCGGCTCGAAGGTGAAGCAGCAAGACGGGTCCGGGGTGTTGATCATGATCGCTTGTGACATTGTATTTGTTTCGCAGAGTCGGATCTCAGGAGGGGGGCCTCGTAAGGCTTCGGGTTGCGCACAGGGGTTGTGCATGGTGTTGCACCTGGGGTACTTCATGACATAACTATGCCCGGGCTTACTCGCTGCCAGGAAAAGGAAGACGTGCGCAAAGTTATCTGTCAGAATATTTGTCAGAATCCCCTGGTCATCCATGCTCCGTCCATGAAATAAATCATGTTGAGTTAGCACTCGTGTAGGCTTATGGTACCATCCTGCCACAACCGAAACAGCCAGCTCCCGCAGGACGACGCGGAAGACGAACAATTCAGGCGTGGCCCAAACATGGGCAGGTCGGCTGCCCACGAGGATGGTCCATGTCGTGGGGCCCCGGGGGGAGCCTACGCCCTTCCGACCCCGGGGCCCCGCCTCGAGCTCACTTCCGCTGGGCGCCGCGGGAGCGGCCCTTGCCACCCCCCTTCTCCGCCGCGGCTGCTTCTTTAGGAAGCTCCACATCTCCTCCTCCGCCTCTGTCCCGTACTGACGCCGCAGGGCGAACTCGACCGGGTCGGTCTTGTTCAGCCTCAGCACAGCATGCACCATCACGTCCTTCACCTGCTGCGTGACCAGATCCGAGAAGCTCAGCGTGAAACGCCAGGCCCAGTCTGGCACCGGGGAGACGAACTTGGACGACAGCCCGCCGACCATGATGTCCACCATCTCCGTCTGGATCGCCTGGAGCTCCTTGGCCCCGTCGATGAGCGGCTGCAGGGACTTCTGGTAGTTCTCGTCGGCCGAGGCATCGCGCACCTTCGTGGCGACCTCCTCGACCTTGTTCCACACCACGGACCACATGTAGACCTTCTTGTGGGGGTACTCGAACTCCGGCACCTTCGTCTCGTCCTCGGTGGCCTTGTCCCTGGCCTTCTTGAACTCACCCCACTTTGCGTGCCACACGTCGCTGATGCCCCTCACGCTCTCCTTGTACTCCTCCTCCCTGAGGAGGATCACGAACTGCTTCGAGTTGACCACCTCGTTGGCGTCTTTCTTGAAAGACAAGCAATCCCGAACCGTGCAAGTGACCACTCTCGTGCAATCCGCGCCTTCGCCGGAGCCCTGGGCTCCCCAGGAGGCCTGGGCCCCGCCGCCGGCTGCCCGGTGGCCGGTCCGGCCCCTCTTGCTTGTCAGGCTCTTTGCCCTCCTGCGCAGCCTTGGCCTTCGCCTCCTGGAGCAGCCCTTGCGCCGTCTTCGGCATCTGGCTGTGGGGCGAAACGGGCCGGCAGCTTGGAGTCCTCGAAAGCGAAGCCGTGCTCCCCCTGCTTGAGGCTAAGACCAGCGATTCGGAAACGTTTAGCACATCCATGGGCATGCTTCGAAGCTCCCTTCTGTTCTCTGAATCGAGTACCACAATGCACACAAGGATAAGAATTTACAACATGATACTGTAATTGGGATTGGCGCACAAC